GGCAACAGAGGGCGGCGAGGGGCCCGGGGGGAGCCGGGGGGGGTCTGGTCCCCTTGAGCCCTCGGAGAGCCCCAGGCCACAGCCCACGCTGGGGGTGAAGTGGGACGGGTAAGAGGGTCGGTGTGGGAGCTGCTAAATCCGCCACTTCTGGGTGGGGGGTGGGGAGGGCGGTGCCCACTCACGACGAGGGTTGGAGTCAGGGTGCCGGCCAGGTCCTCACTGCTAGCTGTGCGACCTCAGGCGAGCTGCCGACTCCTGAGCCTCAGTTTCCCCCCCTGCCCAGCCGGTTTAAGGAGAAGTGAAGCCGCCGGCAGGCCCAGCCCAAGGGGCCTTGCTGGCCCCAAGCTTGTCCTTCCCCTCGAGGGCGGCAGGGCATCGCCAGGACAGTCCTGAGTTGCCTCCTCAAAAGGCACAGGTGGGGGTCTTGGGCCGGGAGCCGCCTGGCCTGGGCCGGACATCCCAGTGTCGGGGGGCTGCAGCGAGTCCGCGGCGGGGGACCCCGGCCCTCGGGGGCCACAGGCCGGCTCCGAGGGCGACGGGCCGGGACCTGCACGTCCCACGGGCTCTGGGACCCCAGCGGCGCTGCTGAGCTGGGCCTGGGGGGAGCCGCCCTGTCCGGCGCGGGCCGCACCTTGTTGATGACCTCCACCTTGACCTCCTCCTCGTCGGCGATGGCCTTCTCCTTGCTGACCTTCTCGGTCTCCACGCCCACCACCTGGATCAGCTTGTCGGCATTCTCGTTCTTCAGCTTCAGGTCGGCCTCCTGGATGGCCAGCTTGGCCTTCAAGTCGTCCACCTGGGGCGGGGCACCAGCGGACGTGGAGCTGGGCCGGGCCGCCACCACCTCCGGGGGCCCGAGCGGAGCGGTGACCCCTAGCTGTGTATTTACTGAGTGCCGGCTGCGTGCACGGGGGTGGGGGGGGGACCCGGGGGGAGACCCGCGCTGTTGCTCAGGCCGGGAGGCCCTGGGCGCGCGGGTGTGCCGGGGAGCGGCAGGGCTGTCCAGCTGGCCGGGGTGTGGCTGCTGTGTCCAGGGCCTGTCTGGACGTGGCACCCGTAGGGCCGTCTGGGCGGGAGCGGGCTCCTGCGGCCCGGGCCGCCGGCGCCCACCTGGGACGCCGTGCTCTGCAGCTTCATGAGCCCGTTCTCCAGCCGCTGGATCTTGGCCACCAGCTCCACCGTCTTCTGGCCCAGCAGGCTCTGGTAGAGCTTGATCAGCTCCAGGAAGGTCTTGGGCGTGGTGTAGTTGTAGCGGCGCTCGGTGGCCAGGTACACCTTGGACATGTCGTTGACGGTCGTGTGCACGTAGGCCATGAAGAGGCTGATGGAGGCCTTGACCTCCGGCTGCAAGGCAGGTCGGGCCGTCCAGTCCAGCCCTGCCCGGGCGGGTCGGAGGCGCCTCCCTGCCTCCTCGTCCCAATCATGACAGCGGCCGTGACGTTGACCACCGCGTCCGGCGGGGACCCGAAGGACTTGAGCTCCGTCAGGTTGTTCTGTGGGCGGCAGGACGTGGCCGGGGTCGGTGGCCGAGTGCGCCCGGGGCTCCCCGCGCGCCGCCGTCCCTCCCGCCCCGCCCCCACCTTATTCAGCGTGTCCAGCGCTTCCTGCGCGGCCAGCAGGGCCGGCTCGGCCTTGGCCAGGTCCGTCTCGCAAGCCTTCTGCTTCTCGGTGACGTTCTGCGGGAGGCGGGCAGGGGCGCCCATGCGGGCCCGGCGGCAGGCAGGTGGGCACCCGGGCGTCTCGGGTGAGGCGGCCCGGGGCCCTTGCGGGTCAGGGCCAGGGGTCTGCGGGGGTCCGCCTCCTGCATTGGCGCCCCCACGCCTTCCCAGCCCCCCAACACTCTGGTGGAGAGGGGCTGTGCGTGGCCCAACTCGGACTCGGGGTTCAGAGGCGGGGATGCTCTTTCTGTTGGTCGGCGCCTCCAGGCCTGCAGGGGACACCCCAGGCCCACCCACCTCCACCCCGCAGGAGTGAGGCCGTGGGGCCGCCGGGTCGCCCCTTCCGGAGCAGCAGCTCCGGGGAGCGGTGTGTCTCCCCTTAAGAAAGCAAGGCCACCTCCCCCCCAGCACCCTCCCATTGGCTCACGCACCCATCCCAGAGCAGGTCGGGAAGGCGCCCCCCGCCGCGGCTAAGAGCCCCGAGCG